TGTTGGATGATATGTTTATATTCCGAACTTTTTTTTTAGGAACAGTTTCCGTAGAAGTCATTTCCCCCCACTCCCGCTTTCTTGGCGCACACTGTTTCCCTGCGCCACACACGCTCGCTTGCGCCCATGTAAGGGGAAGCCGTATATTTGCCCACGGCAGTCCTCCCTCTTCAAGAGGAAAAAGGTAAAAAAAAAAAGTTTCTTTCTCCCTCCCTCTCTAACTCTCTTAAAAAATATGCTGTGACGTTTTGTTGATACGGGTTCTTTTCTTTTTACCCACTGCCACAACTAGTCACTCAGCGCCGTCGGCGGCGTCCGTCCGGCAGAGGTGGACATAAGTATGTGCGTGGCCAACGTATAATCGCGCGTGAAGGCGGGTGGGAGTTGTCGCAGAGTGAAGTGGCGGGGGTGGCGGCGGCAAGAAAAGAGAAGAGGGGCACTGATAAAGCAGTAAGTTGTAACGCACAGCCAAACAGACTATGAGGGAAGAAGAATAACAAAGCGCGTGCACAAGGAGCAGAAGGAGAAGTATCGGTGAACACACAGCTTAAAGACTTTGCCTTCTATTCCTGTTGTCTTCCGCCACCACCCCCCTCCCGCAGTTTTCTTTTTCGTGTTGGTGTGACGTGTTTTTAATAAAAGCACGGTTGCGCCGTCCCTTCTTCCTCGCCGCACCTCTCGGGGCCTCCCCATGGTGCCTCGGCCCTCGAGGGCCCTGCACGCGCGCACGCACACACAAACGCGAATGCCTGCATCTTCCTGTCACCACCCGGCGGCGGCACGGCTTTTTTATACCACTTGGGATGGGCGCACGTGTTCAGAGCGGGACGACGGCAAGTCTGTGGCGTGCGTGTGCGTGCACGCGTCCCAAGTCGTGCTCTGCTTCACACACACACACACACGCAAGCAGGCGGGCACTCACGTGCAATAAAATAACGGCCGCAGGGGAAAACACGGCGAGGAAGGGCAAAAAAACTAAAGAGGGGAACACGACACAAGAGCGTCAAACAACAAGAAACGGTAGGCAAACTAAATTAAGAAGCCACTCCAGCCCACATCGCTCCCATGCATTCTTCACCCTCAGAGAGACAGGTAGACAAGTTCTTCTTGTTCCCCCCCTCCCCCGCCGCGCTTTTTCGCTACACAACTTCTCAATCACTGGCGCCCAAAACCCAAAAGCAGTGGGGGGGGGGGGAGGGGGGGAGGGATGCTAGTAAGAGAAAGGGGGAAGAAACAACAAGACAAAAAAAAAAGATACTCCGTACCGTCTTTATAGACAAAAGTAAA